GCCCGGTGTGAAAATCAGTGTAGAGCAGCACCAGATGTTCACCAGCAAAACCAGCATATGTTGTGTTTTGGATGCTGGTATGCTGGGCAACCAGCATGACCATGCTGAGTGACCAGCTAAATCAGCACTAGACCAGCATAAAACAGCTGTGGTGTTTTTTTCAACACTGGATGCTGTTGGAGACTTCTTGTGTTTAGAAGATGTTTTTCCTCTTCAGTGAATGATATGCCAACGTATTTGTTTGTCAGAGAAATACATTTAACTGTTTGTAAGCCTACATAGCGATAATGGCTGTGCTACTTCTGTCTGTCCTGCCCTTAACATGTTCACGTTCAGGCACTCACATTTTGGGGTAGCAAAGTATAACATTCTTACTTACAAATATGCACAAAACGTTCATGTTTTATAATTTATTGAATTAGAGGTTTGCATATTTTCTCCATCTTCAAACATAATGTGTTCACAGATATTGATTTCAGTATTTGAATACTGGCACCATGAATGGCTGACTGAGTAATTGAGTACTTCCCTAGTGTGGGCAACATAATGTGGGCTCTTAGAGTTTAAGAGGTTAAATAAAGGTTACAGGAAGAAGGCTAAATACAGGTTAGCTTTGGAAATGATGAAAAACCTTCTCACTCTGTTTTTACAGGGAGGTGATTGAGAAGAAGCCAGAGAAGTTTAAGATTGAGTGCTTAACAGACATCAAGAATCTCTTCCCTCAAAACTCTCAGCCTTTCTATGCAGCCTTTGGCAACCGCAGCAATGTAAGCTTTTATACTGTGCTGTTTTTAGGTTTCAGGAAATGCATATTTATTGTGGAAGGGTTGGTCCACTTACCTCAGCTGTGATCATCCCGAACCAGTTTTAAGTTCTTGCTTTGCTACTTTATTGCTACACTAGAAATAAGCTAACATTGCAAAGGACTGTGCTGTAATGACCAGGGGTGTAAATCTCTGACCTCACAACCAGTTGGTTCAGTTACAGTTCTTCAGTAAATGATTTGGTGACTGATGAAATATAAACAATTCACCACAGTTCAAACCTAATATTTTGGATGTCCAAATATGAGTGCATACTTTATTGAATAGTATTGTAATAGATTATAATCAGTTCTAACATTCCAGGACCTATACTGTCAAATTACCACTTTTAGATTTATATATTATGCCTCAATGTATTTTTACACCCCTGTTAATGACAGTGGAGCCTGGCAGGTCTGTCCCCACAGCATATTGAATTTGTTAACAGGATTAACCCCGCAGAGCATCTGCCATTTTATCTGCTCTTTTCTGTAAATAATGTGATTTCTGAATGCTGTGGTTGCATTTATTTGATATGTAAAGAACATGATCTAACAGAGCCAAATAATCATAGATTTTTATTTAGTTTGTATCACAAACTACTATTTGAATAAGACAATGCATGAACAGGAACATTTTACACATTAATAATGTGATTAAACAAAGCAATGATAAGTGCTTCTAATCTAAATTGCACTCTGTATGCGTGTGCTTGCTCAGAAAAGATCACAGTGCATCCAACAATGATTGCTTCTTTTATAAAGTGATAGAAAACAAGGTGGCACATGTAAAGGCTAAGACTCTACATGTTGGTGCATGTTACAGGCCAATGCGGACATGCATGCACTGTAACTTCTATGGCAGCGGAGTGAAAGGGCACGTCGCTAGATCAGTTTAAGAGGGGTCAAAAAAGAGCTATTCAGGAATATAATGGCCTGGTATATGTATAATCTGAAGTACAGCTGTCTTATAACCTTTATCAGTAGTGCTTCATTTTCCCATTTGAGTTGAAGTGTAAAGTTGATTTCTAGCACAGAAAACTACTGAATAAGTTCAGCTGTGTGTGTGCTTCCAGGATGTGTTTGCCTATAAGCAAGTGCATGTTCCAGCCTGCCGCATATTCACGGTAAACCCTAAAGGAGAGGTCATTCAGGAGCTGACCAGAGGCAACAAGACATCGTAAGTTTATGACTCAGTTCACACACTCATGGGTTGGAAAGACTCCTGCTGCACTAGGTCTATCCAGAACCAACACTGAGTAACTGAATAAATGACAGGACAAATAAGAAAGTGCTTGTATTCGTAGATACAGCTTTTCATAAAACTGTATAAACAGCATATTTACTGTTATTAATTGTTCATTGTGTTGTAATTACTTGCTGTGGTTTATGCATTTAAGCCATTAAATCGTAAGGTTCAGTATGTTGGCTCACACTCTTACATCTACTTACATACTGGTATCATAACAGTTACTGAATTATAAGCTTTAAGCTTAATAACTGAATAATAAGCCTAAGATGTAAGGAGTTAGTTGTTATCAAATGAATTGGCTTGGTAGCTGATCAGAAAATGCCGTTTCAGTAGAAAATGGCTAGTGAAACAGCACCAAACGGGGTAATGTTAGGGCAGAACAACTTGGGGAAACTATCTAATTGCGACTTTTCTGACTAATATTTGACTGCCATTTGAATTGCAATTATTTTCTATAAATTAAGGTTTAGGCCATTTTTTTTTTTGGCCAAGTAGACCCGAATATCCACTTGACCCCTGAATGTAGTGTGCCAGACTGCCAGTAACTTGTGGTTGTGATGTCACAACAAATGGATGTTTGGTTGCCTCTGATTAGTGTAGCTTATCTAGAGGCAGCTCACAAGCTGTGTAATTAGCTTAAATTTTCCCACTTAAGACGCTTTTCATAAAGTAGGCTGTACTTAAAAAAGCAGCTTTTACAAAAATATACATAAAAAAGTCAAATATCATTGTCATGGAGTTTACTGTATAGCATGATGCATGATTCCAAACACCGCCAGATTTGTAAACTTCTTATTTTCTGTGTATCTACTGCAGGTATAGTCGCCTGAACGAATTGGTGGATCATGTTTTCCCTTGGGTCGACAAAGAGCAAAGTGCTGTCTTTGTTCACCCAGAATTCAGTTCTTTCTGCTACTGGAGGCAGCCCGTAGCTGAGGTCTGCCTGGAAGAGATCCTGTTACTCTAACTGGCTGAGCCACTGAGGAAAGCCTACTGTGATTGGTCAGGCTGGAACTGACCTTAATTGTGATGCTACTATTGTTTGTAATCTTAAAGCACTTGAACCAACTGATTGTTATTTTTCACTTTTAGTAGAGGATTGCATTCTTTTCTCTGTAAATTCATCTACTAAGAATTAAAACTACTGTATAGTGGGTCTCGCAGCTGAGCTTAAAAGCCTTAATGCTATTTATGTGTATTCATGAAAAAATGCTGCTGTGTTTGAAGCTGTGTTTAACACATATGAACAGATGTCACAGACTGATTGCGCATGTATACGACACTTTAAGAGATTCACTGTGTATACATGTGTGCAGTGCTGCTGATTAAATACAAGTTGAAATGAAGTACTGAGCTAAAAGTTCATTTGTACAGGTAACATCACTTATATTGCCTATATTTACTCTTATGATGTAAATACAGTCCTAATGATTTTACATATGACTGTCCTGTTCATTGAAAGGCACTCGTGTCTGTTATGACTGAATTTGCTGTCCTGAAGTGTGATTTTAAAGAACTGCAGTAGAAACAGAACATCCATTATAAAAGTTTTAATAACACCACAGTTTACTGTTTGTATTTGGCATTACAAAAATTACAGTTATGTAACTGAAATATTTTCCATAATGCTTTATATTGAATGAGACATTTGAATTAGCTGATGTTTTTGATGTTTCATTTTCAGATATTCCATTCCATTTCCATTAAACTAACAAAGGCATTGCATAATGTAGTTCACTGGTACAATTAGATCACTGTAATGAGCAAACAAGTTGCTTTTTGGTACAGTAGATTTTTCTATATGAAAGTTTTTTTTTTACAATCTACAGTTTCTCTTATTAAAAAAATCTAGCGTTACACAGGTCTGTAAAATAAACAGCTTCCATACACACTCACTCAAACAGTAAACGGCATTCATAAAAAAGAAATTTGGTGTAGTAAGGTTGTTACTATTCTATTGTTTTAGTTCTTTTAAAAAATCTAGCATTACAGGGTTTCCAGAACCATAGCTCCCCTCCTCTCACACACAAACACTGCATATTCCAATTATATATAAATAAAAGTATCCCAATTTTTTTTTAAACAAAACCTAACATACACTTTTGTTAAGTATTTACACATATTCTGTAAAGCACTATACAAATAATATGTATGTATATATGTATGCATATATTATTATTATTATTATTATCATGAATCGTGAATAGTAGAGAACATTACAGAACAGCATAAATGAGGAGGACATTCAACAACAGTGTACATGGAGAACATTCTAGAGCATTGTGAATAGGGGAGAATGCTCTAGAACACTGTAAATTTTAGAACAATTTAAACGAGGAGAACATTCTAGAGACTCCCAACAATCACACACAGATCTGTTAATGGTGTTTATTAGTGTTTGCTGTATTGGTGTGTTCTGGCCTTAAATATATTCGTCTTTGAAATTTGCTTTAAAAAGTCAGTGACAAACATAACTTGGTTATCAATCTACTCATCCTTCATCTTTCATAACAGAACATTTCTGGCACTAATATTAACCCCATAAACCTTCTTTTTCAGTCACTAATCTTAATGCTCATTATTCATTAACAACTATAAATTATTCAGTAACGCTTTATATAAAAGTTACCTGCATAGGCACTTCATAACACATGCATAAGCACTGAATAATGCATTTAAAAAGCAATAATTGAGTATTTATTAACAGTGAATGGCTGTATCTGCAAGATCAGATCAGATGTTTATGAAGTAAATGGCATTGTGTTGAAATAAGGGGCCTTAAACTAAAGTGGCAGACATTTGTTCCTTTATATGTTATGAAGAGCTCAGAAGGCAGAGGCTTAGATAAGAGCATATTCTCTGTCAGTTCTATAATAGATGACCTCAAATAAAGTGGAAAATATGCATGAAAAGTGTCACTTTATTTTCAGGCCATCAGAATCTTCCACTGAACCGATATATAGCATTCTTAACTAGATGTATGCCTTAGAAGTTCAACTGTTCAGGGCTTCTGCATATGTTATGACAACCCTATGTAGGCAGCCTTCAAATAAAGTGTACTTTATTTACAGTAACTATGTATAAAAGTATGAAACAAACTGTATATTGCATTTAAGTGAGATTGAGCCTTTTCAAAATACTCCTTTTCTAGCAAATACTTTCATTATTTTGTTCATCCCATATGCTATAAAGCAGGAACATCACCACACTGTACATTGATAGCCCTGATGTTTCTTTAGCTGTACGTTATCTTGTAGCTGGTAAAGGATGAAGTAGAACTCCACTAAATGTGGAAAGAACCTCAGTGGATGCTGAAATCGCTAGTGTTCCAGAAGTCATCACCACCCCGACCTTCTGGCCTTGTTTAAGATCTAAGATGAGGCTGGCGGAGGCGGAGCCTCCACAAAGACACTCCATGTCCCCTGATCCAGATGTGTCCAGCTTCTGTATGTTGCGATTGGCCACTGAGAGAATGGCCTCCACTCGTGCTCCCCTCTGGGCTGTTATTACAGTGCTCAGCAGGTACCGTCCATCGGTGGGCACAGTAAATAAACCTACGGCACGTACACAGAGAGGTTTACTGTTCTGGTACATTTGTCTGCATACTTTTATGCACCATATTCACATTTAAGAACACAAGTTTGAGATATATACGTACCTGTAAGTGGGTCATAGTGTCCCCCATCATTCAGCAACACATGGTTAAAGCGGATGATGGCAACATCTCCAGAAAATGGTAAGAGGGTCAGACCAGCCGAAAACGATACAGGAGTGCTTGTGCTCTTATGACCTGAAAAATACACCCAAGACACAACTAGACTATTGAGTAGCTACTTTACATAGTTACAGATCTTGACGGTAAGACTGGGCAATCTGACGATATTTAACACCATTGTGATGTATTGTGTCATATCACAATATGCTTTTCTGAATGTGGATAATGTCTGTACTTTGAACATTGAGGAACTGCCTGTTTCATTACAAACAGAATAATTAGGCCTGTTTAACTGGATTAGAGCAGTGCAGTATGTAAAATGGTGAATAAATGATTATATTCATAGTATGTGAGAGTATTTTTAAAAATAAAAGCACTACTTGCTCTTTTTATCTGTTCCAACTTATCAGATTTGAGAATAATAAATATTTCTAAGAATCACCTCCAGCTCCAAAACAGCTCTTCATTAGCAGCTGACAGCTTTTTTAAATTCCAAAAAAATAACAAGTTAGCCACACTATCATTTCATTTTCAACAAGTTTCAGTCTAGATTCTATAAACAAAAAATTCCATTATATTATAAAGGGAAAAGGGCTAGCAAGCCAAAACTGCTGGTACAAACACACACATTGTGTTAATTAGATAAAAGACAGGAACACGGTTGAAATGAAAGAAACTGCAAGAAAAGAACACAATAAATACTGAATGACTGAAACTGATAGTTCCTAATGTTGTTCTGGTTAAGGGCTTGGATAATATTGGAAAAAATCTGAATTAAACATGCTTTCTGACAGACAGAATAAAGAAAAAAAGAAATATGAAATAAACTCTTTTTGGGTTTTTATGTGCTCCTGTTTATTTCAAATCAGACATACCACCTGCTCCTTGGCAAAACGTTTACAGCAGAGCCCTGATTAGTACTTATTCTAATGTTAGTGGTTTTTTAAACACATAAATCAATAATTCACATATATTAGCTCAGATTTCTAAGACTTTTGTACAGCACTGTGTAAACACTATCCCTAAAGTGTGGGGATACTTTCTGAATTTAATACTTTGCATACATTTTGGAAATCTCAGCTTCACGTTTATTATTCTTTGGTATGAACTGCATTTATGTAAAGAATGATTTAACCTTTTTTCCCCCAAACAGTTGTTATTTGGGATGAGCTCCTGTCATTGTCATGAGCTCCTCCTGCTTGGGAATCTTCAGTTGGACCAACTCATCCAGTCTTAATCCTCTACGGCTCCAGCTCTGCCCTGGACCCTCCCTGTCATCACTGTTTCTCTCTGTGTGTCTCTGTATTCATACCACTTTGTTTGTGTTCAGTCTTTGTGGGGGCTCGCCAAAGTTTCTTGAGCATTTCTGAGCCAATCCTAGTTAAACTCTTGCCTGTTGTTCCTTAATTTTCCTTATTTATGTATCTTGTCTTTCCTCTGTCTCTGTTGTTGGATTCCTTCTCTTGGTTTTGAACATTTTAATTTAATTATGTATTGGATTACTCCATTACTGTCTGCTTGTGTTTATACCCCTGACTGCTCTAATGACCCAGACTTTTGGAAAAAAATAACTTTAACCAAAGTTAAATCATGTCCTTGCATCCTTATGGGCGTAGCTATGATTTAAGCCCTCGCTATACATGAATCTAATGATTAAAAAGCTAGCCAGGCGGTAGGAGACAATAGGCAGGTCTAGCTTTAGCACAAATATTTTCCACAAATAGCCTACAACACATGTATGTATTCATCTGTAAAAGTAAACAGGTGGCATAATAAACATAGAGCAGCATGCTGAAGGGACCCAATGCACATTATGTTGATACATAAACATTTACAAAACTAGTACCGCTTTATAATAACAGGCCCTAATAAACAGCAGTTTAATAATTATGTAATAATTAATCTTATGGTCCAGGTGACTGTGATGTGAGAAAATACAGCTGTTACTTTACAGTTATTAACTGTTAATATGGTAGTAATGCAACTACTAGCCTGCAATTTACTGTATTTTCTCGCGTATCTCTGTATGAAATGCTTCAGGAAAACACCTTTTAAACTTTAACTATGCTAATGGAAGTAATTTTGTGATTAATTCTTTTGGTCCATTCATGATGAAATGTTTACACAATGTAAAAAGCAGCTATTTTTGGTGTAAAACAATAAAACCTAACAAAATGAGTTGTGAGGTTGATATGTGAAGAGATATGAACATTGATGATATGCTCTTTGAAAAGCACAAGGCGGAATGCAGTGTACCTGAAAGAAGGTGAGGTGTGATGGAGGCAGGAGAGACAGGAGGATAGCCTGCAGCACACACAACAAACAGGAAAACAGATAACAAGACTGTTATAAGGTACTATGACAAGATACATATTATTATACTGTTATGACAAACAGAAGTGACGCATGTTTCTCACAGTTCCTTAAAACACGTCACAAAGCCCACAATGATCAAATGTGAAACTCACCTGGTGCTGCGGCGTAGCCTTTAACAGGTGTCATACTACCGTTGGCCCCCTGAGGGGGCCGGGATGAAAGCTTGGTTCCAGGAGGGCCTGCTTCTCCAGACTCCAAAACAGGAGGAGTAGAGCCTGTCGCCATGGAAACACTAGAGTCTTCCATACCTGCCCGAACACCTGGAGAGGGAAAGAGGGAAGAGTGGTAGAATTAGGAGAGAGTTAGCTTAGAAACATAATGACAGTAATGACAGGGTTAACAGGTGTGACATGGTGTGATTTTATAGAGACAGTCTCTTTACACACATCCACAACTACAATTATCAGGATGACCTGCTGACAATGAGCCACACACCCCAGAAAAACCACTTATGGAAAGAGCATGTGTGTATTGGGGGGTGTATCTTGTCAAAGAGCAGAGGGCAACTCCAGCACTACAACTTTCAAACAACTTTCACATCATAAATACTTTAAGCCACTTTCATGTAAAACATCTGCATCTGTCAGAGATGTTTTATGCAGCTGGTCACCAAGAGAAGGAAAAAATGGGCAAAGACAATTAATTTTATTAATAATACATATATTAGCGTTTTGACAAGTGCTCTTGCCTAGAAAACTAAACACAGGAAATAAAACTAATTTTGGGTTTGGTTTAGCTTTAGGTTTGATTCTGAATGAATTATTAAGGACCGACGTTGGGGATTGAATGGGAACTGTGGGTTGACATCTGATATTTTCCATGTACATGTCTGCCTATGTTGATGCATAAACATTTACAAAACTAGTAACGCTTTATAATAACAGGCCCTAATAACAGCAACTTAATAATTATGTAATAATTTTTAATTGTTTGTCTTGTCAAATGGTGCCATTTATTGATGCACATGTAATTAATAGCTACATATGTATTAATAATTTAACAATTAACCACTGAATTATTAGGCATTTACTTAAAAAATTAAGAATCAATAATTATTTCAAAATTGTAGAAAGCTAACCATAAATTATAGTTTATTGATATTGATTTAGTTATTTGATACTCAACCCATAAATGATATAACCTGAAATAATAAACATTTACTAAGTTGCACCAAACAATAAACAATTTATAATAATTATGAATGAATTGTCAGTGTCCTGTTTTAAAGGATGAAGTAGTTACTTATTAATATGCAACTTAATGATGCATAATGCCTAGTTAATGGTTATTAAGTGTATGTGTGTATATATATATATATATATATACATAGCTGTTGTCGGAAGAAAATCTTGCATCTCCATATTTATATATATACATTTATATAGTCATTAATTGGAACCCTACTATAAGTTGTGACTTTTTAAGGTAGAAAATGTCATTAATAAATGATTAAATACTGCATGAGCTATTTATGGGGGATTGTTATTATAAGGCTTTTGTGTGACAGCCACAACATACAAACAAGGCAAGCATTTAGTTCTGTATTTAAGGAATAGTTTAGCAATTCTGCCATCAGGGATGCACGATGATATCAGTATCATATCAGTATCAGCAGATACCAACCTGTGATGTATTTACTTTATAATAGAAAATGTATAGTACTGATGAATTTATCCTTTTCAAACTGGATATTTTTTATCTCTACAGAAGTGGGTATATCATCACATTGACTTTTTGTGTTTCTACTTTGCGTTAGTTGATCATTTAATACAATGATTTCTTTTTTTTTCCTTGTGATAAACAAAACCAAATATATCAGCTGGTGAGATAAATGCTCATTGCCTCCAAGACCAAATCAAACACTGTTTCTGAATTGTGCTGTATTTATTTCAGAAATGATTTTGTATGTATGTCCTTCTAGAAGGCCTCTCTTCTTAAAGATACGTATTTCTACATTTCTACAAATTTTAAGATACATTTTGATGTGCAGTACCCTGGACGTTACATAGTAAATGCTTCAAATTGTATAATAAATTCAGGCATTTCAAAATGCAATCATTCAAGATTTTGATTTTGTTAAAAGTATAATCTTTTGTTTGTTTAGGAGTGACAGTATATGAGGTTTTATGAATTTGTGGATAATATTGTGCTTTAGTGATTTCAGTGGATTTCACTGACCAGTATAGTGGACAACTAAATATAGTGGACAATTAAGTATAGTGGAATTAAGTACATTAAACCTGCAAGATTTTGAAAAATGAACTAATTCATTCATGTTATCTGTGTCAATGACTGGGCTGTGTATTATTAACGTACTGTCAAATATACAAATTACTGAATTGTATGTCCTGTATTACCAGTTAGACGTAATTACCTCACTTCAGTGCAAGTCTGTACAGTGCACTTGTAATGCTCTATAAATGGAATTTCGTTAACATTTAAAAGACATTTTTAAAAACCTCACTACACTTCAAGCCTGTAATGACCTGGCAGAAAGCTCTATAAAGTGCTACATGCAGGGTATAGTGCATTACAGCATTAGTGTTGAGAATGTTCTTACGAACAGACATTATAATGTGTTATGGAGCCTGACTTTGTGAAATCACATTCTCTAGCTTTATAAAGTGTTATGCACATGCACAACTATAACTACTTCTAAGCAATGATACAACATTATGACAGTCATTGTAAGGTATGAATGCCATTTAATCCAGTATGCATTTTTAAAGCATTACGAATACAGGAGTCATAGAAAGTGATAGTAAATGGTCCATCCTGCATGATGCATTGTCACATCTCTACACTGTCACAGTGTTGCATTGTCCTAACCATCAAATATCAGTTTGAAATACCAGTCAAATCTAAACTTCTGTCTGATGACAATAATGTGTTTACCAATTTGAATCCAACATCACCGCCCCATAATCAATATTTTTTTAAAACTCTTGAACTATCATTCACATGACATTTCTAGAAGAACATTTTGGCTTTTTGAGTTTGACATATCAAATAAATTATTATAGTTTGGTAAATATTTTGGAAAAAAAAAACATTATAACCACAATCATGCAGAGAAAAAATGTGTATGTTGTGGATCCATGAAGTTCTCTGCCAAACTGCCTTTGTCTGTTCAGTGGTCCGGAGGCATATTTGATTTTATGAGGATTATTGTTCCTCTTAGTAAAAACTGTGTTTGTTTTATTTGCTCCCAACACAGCTGTTTGTGGCAACTCGTTTACTTCCATGTGGCTCATTTCCTGCCCTATAACACAGAACATGTACATAGAGCTGAAGTGTGCAAATGTGTGTGTGTTAGAAAGCTGATCTTAATTTAAATCAACCGCACTTAAGAGGTGAAAGAAGGCATGGTGAGATTAAACATATGGAGAGGAAAGTGCAGGTGTGTTCCATGTCTCACAGCGCCTCTTAAGGAAGCATTAAAACATACAGGATCATTTCTGTCATGCTTTTTTTTTCCATTGTCCATCACTCAATCTTTAACACTCAGCATTTTACTGCATTTATTCCAAAAGCCATGTCATTAACCCAGCATGTCATTGTAACTTTACAGGAGAAAGAAAAACGTTCTTAGAATTCTTATAATAGTCAATGTAACAAGATTTTTTCCAAGCAATTTTGGGCCATTTCTATTGGTCTGTTAATAATGAAATTTTAACACAATGCAAAGTCTAACTCAAGTCCTTAAATTATGTAAAATAAAGTAAAAACCGCCAAAAACTGAGATAAAAGTTTTGGTGCAACAGCAAAAATATATAAATAAGACAGGCACTCTGTTCTGAGTTAAAGCAATAGCTTAGCAATTTTGCTACTAGGGATGCACAATGATATCAGAATCATATCAGTACGGCAGATATTTTATTTAAATAATGAACAGATGTTTAGCTTGACTGATATTTTAAACCAAACTGTGATGTATTTAATTTACTCCAGGAGAATAGAATATTTAGGTGGTGCTGGGACATTTTACTGCATTTTCACAGTCACATGCCAAAGTTTGGGCTCCCCTGGTCATGTTTTGTTAAGTTTCTAAGTGAAAAGTTTACACGTCCTCTACAGAGAACACACTTCTGCACATTTAATACACAGTTACTGTTTATTTGCTGAGTTTAACACATTTGGGAAAATTACAGCATAAAATGAGGCCTGTGCAAAAGTTTTTTTTCTCAATACGTTAAACTCAGCAAATAAATAGAAATTGTGCACTAAAAATGCAATACTTAAGCTTATTCTCTGTAGAGGATGTGTTCACTTACTTTCAGTTAGAAAATCGATTCTACAGAAAGTTTATATACATATATTTCTCTATAATGCTAATCCACATTCACAGTTTCTACACTTTATAAATGTTTCTCTATCAACATCGACAGATATAAACGTGGAAAATATCGTATATCAGCATCAGCCATGACTCCCATGTGACGCACCCCTATTTTCTACACAATGTTTTTTTTTGGTTTTTTTTTTGCTTGGATGTTCATCAACTGATATGCGTTTGATGACTGAGCTTTATTTCTTTATCAAGCACCTATCAACACTGTGAAAAAAGCATAAACCATCACACACACACTGCTTATGTGTTTCTAAGTGTAAGAGACACTGTGATCTATTAACATTGAGTATTTTTTGGGAGGGGGATACAACTATTTCTTTTACATGGTGTGTCCTCTTGGTAGAAGCTCATGGCTTTTGTTTTTCTTCAGGATCACACAGCATTTTGAATACATAATCCATCTGAAATATATATTTTTCTCTTCGACATGCACAAAATCCTGGGTGTTTTGTGAGTGTATATTAGACAGTAAAGAGGCTACCTCTCCCTGTAGTGATATTACCCTCAAACATCTTTTAACAGACAGAGTGATGAAGTGCTGTTACCATTCACCTACTTCCACTGCCGTTAGGATTAGATTTCATGTACTATGCGATGACTGAGCCAAAGTAATGACCACATTACTGCTTATTTACAGCCTCTCTTTCTCGCTTTCTCTCTCTCTCTCCCTAAGGAGCGTGAGTCGGCACTTGGCAGAGGTGTGGAGAAGAAAGATGAGAGAGAACGAGAGTGAGAGTGAAAGTTAAGTGAACTGTTCCAAGCAGTAACTTTGCATTTAACACCACGCTTATTTCTCCATGACCTCAGATACCACAGCTGGGCTGACTTACACACGTGTCCATACATGTAACATATACAGACCTTTTTCCTTTACTTGTACCTTTTTTTTCTTGACCTTGTTTTAAACAA